GAGAGCAACGCAGTAACGGCAATGGTACAGACGGCTCAAGCCACCAAAGTGCACCATGGTGTGGGTTGTGCTCTTCTCCCCCTCACCCTGCACATGCTGCTCCCCTTCACCCCCGCTCCCACCGCTGCTGCTTTGGCCATCGCTTCGGGTTGTTGTGGGTGCTGCGACCGTTGTCTCCTCCACACACCCATACTCCACACCACCATCCCACTGCGCCACCCTTGCTTGCCCACAACCTTCGTTCATCTTTGCCTGTCGCCCTGTCGCCAAAGCTCAGTACATCAATGTGATTTGTGCTGTTGATACCTGCGCAATCAGTGTTTAGGGATGTTTCCACCCAAATTTCGCAGACGCAACCAACACATCCTGTAATCAGGCATTGAATCCAACAGCGCTGACAGAAAACCTCCACAATCCGTGTGATGTGAAGCGTATTTAACGAAGGATAGGTTCGTTCGTCCTTGATGGCGTGGTGGCGATGATTGCACGTTTGTGTTTACCCCTTTGTGGCTGTGCGCCTTCTCCGCTTTGCCCAGCTGTCCTGTCAGCGCAAGCAAGCACACGCCGCACAACGATGCACAACCAATCCACCACTCGACCGAACAGCGGCATCTCTCGCTCGCTCGCTCGCTTGCTTGTTGTTCCCCCCGCCTCACCACTCTCTCTGCCCAGCCAGAGTCACACATTCTCACCTGACACACACACACGCCGCACGCGCTGAGTGCGAAATCAAAACAAACAAACAAACAAACCAAGCAAGCGCAAGGTGCAGCCACGCCAACTACCAACCACAAGTCGTCGCCACATTCACCCACAACCACAAATCAAAACAAACCAAAGCAGGCCCACTCAGGTGCCCGACCTATTTCTCTTGGATGCATGCAGGTTCTGGGAAGCGCGCACACCCAGATCATCGCGTTCTCCCTGTGGTAGGTCCGGCTTGGCGCAATCCCTGCAACGCCACAGTGATGCGCCGTGGTGTGCGTGTGTGTGTGTGTGTGTGTGTGTGTGTGTGTATGTGTAGGTGTGTATGTGTGTTTTGGGGTATTGTTCGTAAGGATAGATGGAAGGACAGACAGAGTGTAAACAAGTGTGAACCGATTCCTCCTCCACCTTATTGCTGCAAAGACAAACCAAGCCCCCACTCATTTCCCATTCCCTCCGCTTGCGCGTCCCTTCCACACCCAGACCAAGCAGTGACCAGCGACAACACGGAACTCCCCCTCTGCGCACCTCTGCCGTCTTCCTCAACCCAACACCATGGCATCGCAGCAGCAGCAACAACAGCAAGATGGCTCACAGCCACGACAGCAGCAGGCGCTGCCAGCAGCTGAGGTGACCGAGCTGGCACAAACGCTGGAGCGCGATGTCACTGCGGGCCTTGGCGTGTCCTCGGAGCTTTCCGACGCCCTTGTCTCCCTGTGCCAGGCAGGCGACGTGAACCAGCTCATGCTCATCGTCTCGCGTGTCAGCCTGGAGCAGACTGTCCTCACAGACGACTACGACTGCGCGTCCATCCTCCACATCGGTATGCGCTCGTTTTCTTGTGGGTGTATTTGTCTGTCTGTGGAAGGGGGGATATTTGTGCGCGTGGCTGTGTGTGTTGGGGGGGGAGGTTGTGTGTGTGTGTGTGTCTGTGTGTGTGTGTGTGTGTCTGTGTGTGTGTCTGTGTGTGTGCGCGTGTGTCCCTCGTACACTGGCTCACCAACTAATCGCTTTCGCTTGCGCTGTTTGCTGTTGCTATTTTTCTTTTTTTGTCAGCTGCTGCGAGTGGCCGCCAAGACATTGTTCACAGCATCATTCCGTACGTCCAACTCACACACAATATGTGCCAGCGCCATAATGAACCTGTGCTGAGCCACTTGTGTGCACACAACTGCATTCACACACGCACACACACGCACACACACACGCACACGCACACACTCACACACACACGCGCACACGCACACACGCACGCACGCACACACTCACACACTCACACACTCACACACCAACACACAAACACTAACACACATTCACGCGCGCACACTGCAGGCTTGGAGCGCGTGTGCATGCGCAGGACAACAACGGGCGGATTCCCCTTCATGCAGCAGCAGCACACGGACGCGTGCAGGTGGTGCAGGACCTGCTGCGCCCCGCACCACAGACCATCGACGCGCAGGACAACGACGGCAACACCGCCCTCCACCTCGCCGCCAACAACAACGACGCACAGCTGTGCCTCAAGCTCATGCACGCCAACGCAGACCCAGGCGTGCGCAACAACAAAGGCAAGACAGCCCTCGACCTTGCATCGGACGAGCACGTGATCCAGGTCATGTCACCGCAATTCAACGGGCCGCAGCTTGTCGACGCCGTCAAGACAGGAAGCTTCTGCACCCTGCAGTCCCTCCTCACCCGCAGCAACGTCAACTACACCATCCCCGAGCAACAGTACGTGTGTCTGTGTGTGTCTGTGTGTGTCTGTGTCTGTGTGTGCATGTGTGGGTGCGTGTCTGTGTCTGTGTGTGCCTGTGTGTCTTTGTGTGTTGGCTGCTCGTCCATCTACTCAACCACGTCTTCCGTCTCACTTTGGCACTTTCCTTCATCTCCTCCTCCCTTCACTGTCCCCCCCCCCTTTCTCCTGGCCAGACTTGCGTCGCTGCTGCATCTTGCTGCCACGTTGCACAACCCGTCCCTTGTTCATCTGCTGATTCGCTCCGGCGCCGACATTGACCGCGGCGACGCCCAGCACATGACCCCGCTCCACTGGGCCGCAGCTGCCTGCGACATTGAGGTAGGTGTGTGTCTGTGTCTGTGTCTGTGCGTCTGTGTCTGTGTCTGTGTGTACGTTTCTGTGTGTGTGTGTGTGTGTGTGTGTGTGTGTGTGTGTGTGTGTGTGTGTGTGTGTGTGTGTGTGTGTGTGTGTGTGTGTGTGTGTGGGTGTGTGTGTGTGGGTGGGTGGGTGGGTGAAATGAGGTCGGGCCGCACTTCACTCTCCCGCTGTCTCTCTCTCTTTCTCTCTTGCCCCCCCCCCCCGCATCACCTCACCTCCATACCACCACCATACCTCCGCTTCGCTTGTTCTCACCGAACCCAAACCCCACCACCCGTCCACCCGTCTTCCCGCTTCTTGTGCAGGCTGCACATGCGTTGCTGACACACGGCGCGACTGTGGACGTGTGCGACGCAACCCTGACCACTCCTCTCCTCAAGGCCGTCAAATGGTATGCGCCAATGCAAGCACCCGAGTCTGCTTTGATGCATGCTTCGGCCTTCCTGTTATGGCGTCTCGCTCACGCTGTGTCGTCACGCACACACGTGAATATGTGCACATGCACACATGCACCCACGCACACACACACACATGCACCCACGCACACATGCACACACACGCACACACTCATATGCACATACGCACGTGTCTCGTTTCCAGCTGCTGCTATTACATGTTGATGTACCGGAAGGCCACCGCGGCGTCGCCAACCACCCCGCCCTCAGCTGCGTCCAACGCCTCTCCTCGCGGCCAACCCACAACACGCGCCCGCGCAGCAACGTACCCATACCGGCTGCAGGGCTCCCCCAGCGGCGTTGCGGGCCGATCGGCCGTTGCTCCAGGCATTCTGCAGGCACCCGCCACCCAGCATGCAGAGGGCAGTGCCACCTCACCCCCACATCATCATCATCATCAGCAGCAGCAGCAGCAGCATCATCAGCAGCAGCAGCATCATCAGCAGCAACAGCGCGAGTCGCCAGCTGCGCAACAGTTTGCCGCCAAGTACCGCCAGGCAGTCGAGTACGTTAGCTCTTTGTGTTGTGTTGTGTTGTGTTGTGTTGTGTTGTGTGTCTGTGTTGTGTTGTGTCTGTGTCTGCCTGCCTGCCGTTGGTCTGCCTGCTTGTCTGCCTGATTGTCTGTCCCCCGATCCTTCTTCGGTCTCACCACGCCACAACACCGCCACGGCCCACCCGTGTACAGGTTCGTGAAGCTGCTGCTGCAGTGTGGTGCCAGTCCCAACATTGCCGACAGCAAGGGAAACTGCGCCCTCCACTACACCGCCATCCACTGCCTCCCAGACGTACGCCTCCGACGCGTGATTGCTTTGTTGACATTGTTGGGCAGAAAACTTGCATGTAGATCACCACTGCTCTTCATAGTGCACGTGTGCTCACACGACAACACGCTCTGCTTTTCGTGCTGTTCAGGTCACGCATGCGCTGCTGATGCATCCCAGCACGGACGTGGACATTCGCAATCAGGACGGCAACTCCCCTCTCCACCTCGCCTGCCAGCACGACTCGGTGTGTTAGTGTGTTTGTGTGTGTGTCTGTGTGTGTGTGTGTGTGTGTCTGTCTGTCTGTCTGTCTGTCTGTCTGTCTGTCTGTCTGTCTGTCTGTCTGTGTGTGTCTGACTGTCTGTTACTGTGACTGTGTGTGTGTGTGTGTGTGTGCGTGTGTCTGTCTGTCTGTCTGTCTGTCTGTCTGTCTGTGTCCGCGTCCTGTGTTCTTCGTCATCGCTTCGGCCCTCACACACACGTCACCTACCACCTGCACCCGAATTCAGGAGCGCGTGGTGGAGATGCTGCTGCCCAAGGTCGCCGATGCACTGCTGTGTGCGTGGACAGACGACCTCGATGACGCCGACCCGGCCACCGAACATCAGGCCCAGACCGACAGCGCGTTCACCTCTGCGCCACCCACGCCGTGCAGCGGCCACCACACCGCAAAGACGGGCGACGCACCAGAAGCAACCAACAGCAACAGCAATGTGCATGAAACCACGTTTGCTGCTGTCGATGGTTCAAAACGGAAAGTATCCCCGGCTGCCAACAAGTTTGGATTCACCCCACTCGACCTCTGTCCCCCAGGATCAACGTGCCTGGTGCGGTTCTGCAACGTGTGTGCGTGCATGTGTTTACGTGTGTGTACGTATGCGTGTGCGTGTGTGCGTCTGTGTCTGTGTTTGTTTGTGTGTGTGTGTGTGTGTTTGTGTGTGTGCGTCTCTCTGTACTGTCTGTCATTGCCTGTCTGTACATGCGTGTCTGTGTCTGTGCTACCTGTTCAGCTTCTGTTTACACCACTTGCCTTGCCTCACAAGGTTGCTTTCTGTATCCTGTTGGTGTGTACAGACCCTGTTGCTGGCTGCTCGCGTTCTCAGCCTCTGATCCCCTAGATGCCCAACTACTGCAACTACTCTTCAAGCACGCCTCAGTCACTCTTGCTCTTCTTGCTATTCTTGCTCTTCTTGCCTGCCTTCGTTTTTGGCGTTGTTCGTGCATGCGTTACTGTGCGGTTCTTCTTTGTGACCCAACAAAGCCGCTTGTTCCCAGTGCTCCCTTCTCTGTCCTGCCCGCCGTCGCATATGAGCTGTGCTCAATCGCAATCGTATCAGTGACCAAGAATCGTAACAGAATGATAAACTTGAGCGGAAACGGAAGTAGGGAGGACGAGAGGTGATGTGTACGCTTGGACGGACTGCAGGACAACGAACGTTTGAAGGTTTTAGTGGGCGTGGTGGTGCTTGTTGGTTTCGGCAAACACGAGGTGGATTGACTGGAAGCTAGGAGAGGGAATTGGTTCTGGTTCTTCTGGTTGTCTGCTGTTATTCTAACACAAAAGCACAAAGTAGCAAAGCAAGTGAGCAATCTAATGATAATGAGTTGTCAAACAGAAACTTCCTTCCCCTTTTCCAACAGAACAAAATAAAACAGAGAGAGAGAGAGCCGCGTGCAGACCAGATGAGGAGGACGAATGCTGGAATAGTCAACCAGACAACACACAGCGGCGACAAAGGAAAGCTCCTTCGTTGATGTGAAGGAAAAAAATATACAGCGTTGGAGCTGCCGGGTATCGATCCCGGTACCTCTCGCATGCTAAGCGAGCGCTCTACCACTTGAGCTACAGCCCCGTTGCTAACAAGTGTATGAAAATAGTACTTATGTAATACTCATGAATGCAGTAGATTATTCATGCATAATATATTTGAATTTTCCTTTCGTGCAGCATGTGAAGGAAGACAGGCATTTGGTGCCACACCCCAACCACTGTCGCACCGCACTGTGTTGTGTTGTGTCCTGACCAGAGGCGAGCTTTGAGTGTTGTCCCTCCTGCTCCCTCCTGCGGACGACTCCTGAACTCGGGAAGAGCGAGTTGTATCCCCTCTTTCCCTACCGACGTGCCTGCAAGCTAGGGGACGAAATCCGCAAGGATGAGCTCACCAAAGTCAATGCAGAGGAAGGCATCCCAACGCAGCCATCGCAAGAAGGTGTTCATTTCGCTGCGTTTTGGGGAGGCCGGCCATGCAGGCAAGCTGCTCCAGCGAGAGTTGGAGCAGGTGCACGGCCTGGACGTGTTTTTGTGTGACGTCAAGCCTGGTGGCAACATGGAAGAAGAGATCATCACGGCTCTCGCGGTCTGTGACTTGGCTGTCATCATGGGCACCAAGACGTACGGCAAGAAGACGCCTTCCACTTTCAGCACTTTCGAGGAGCTGCGGTTCATCACAACTGAGCGCAAGCCATTCTTTTTCATCAAAATGTGCGAGCGGCTTGAAGAGTCATTTGCGCGGTTTCATCTCCCCGACTCCATCTCCTTTTTTCAGTGGATCCCTGCTTCAAGGGATCCAGAATCCATGTCCCTACCACACGATCTCGCCCCAGCCATCGTGGACAAGCTCACCCACATCAGCACCTCTAGCAGCGCGAAGGGCGGCAAAGGTCACTCCTCCGTCATCACACGACAGCTCCCAACGACACTGGACGCTAGCCTGACACAGTGGCTGCAGCGCTACAACATGTTGTCCTCCATGGGGCTGGTGCTTGAGAAGCGCAACATCACAAGTCTTCACAAGTTGGAGCAGGCAACAGAGGCCATGCGGAATCCGAGAAAGCATGCACTTGCGAAGCGACGACGGCAACAGCAAGAGCAGCAGGGAATGAAACGAGGAGAGCAGAGAAGTAACCCCAAATCAGAAGGAGGCCTGCAACAGTTACATGAGAGCATGTTGATGAAAGAGAAGGAGTTGAAGCCAGCCGAAATTGCCAAGTTCCGGCGGGCGTGCAAGGCGAGGACCTGGCACAACAACGAGATGGACAGTGAGGGAATGGTGGAGAGCACTGAGGGGGTGCGCGGACAAGCAGCTGAGAAGCAGGAAGACGACGAAGAGGAATACCACGAAGAAGAACAGGAAGAGATGCAGCAGCAGCAGCAAGCGAGTGTTGCGCCGACACCTGTGCGTGAAGGTGTGGCAGATGAAACCCTGTTTCGGGAGTGCCTGCAAAAGGTGAGCGACGAGGACGCCAAGGAAAAGATTCTCAGCATTTGGAACAACACGTGTGGCGAGGAGGTTCGGTGAGTACAGCCTTGACGGCAAGACATGCTCATGAGCTGAGTTGTTGCGGGAATCTGGGATACTTCTTCGTGTTGTGTTTCAGCGTTACATTATGTCTGTCAAAGGCACGACCTGACAAAGTGCGTGAGATATTCTGAGTGGTTATGATAGCCAATAATTGCACGACGTGTGTGATGACCGACGAACGCCAGTTGCACACAACATGCACTCTGACACACACACACATGCATACATACACACGCACACAATCACAATCACAACAACCCAGGCTTCTTTGGGGAAACAACCTTGGAGATATAGGCGGGAAGGCGCTTGCAGAGGCATTGAAGGTCAACACGACGCTAACAGGCCTCTAGTGAGTTGCTTGCTGTGGTTGCATGGGTGTGAATGTGTGCTTGTGCGTGCGTGTGTGCGCGCACAGGCGTGTGATTGTGTGGTACTGGCACATTGTGTTGATGCTATGGAGTGCACACCTGACACAAGGACGTGGTTGCGGTGATAGGAATGAGCAATTGGTTTGGTTGATGACATTTCGAGCCTGGTGTGCTGTTGTGCGCGATTCACCCCCCCCCCTTGCACACGCACTTCGCACCATGACACAACCACGCACAGCCTTGAAAACAACGACCTTGGACTTGAAGCGGGAAGAGCGATTGCGGAGGCATTGAAGTTCAATGCAATGCTGGCAGTACTTGAGTGAGTTGTCTGTTGTGGCTGGGTATGAGTGATTGCGTATGTATGCGCTTGTGTTGCAGGTGCACAGTGTGCTGTTGATACCGTAGTGTGCTGTGTATTGGCTGGCATGGATGACACCGCATTTTATTTTGTATTCGTGTGCGCTTGCCTGGATGGATAGCACTCGTGGTGTAGTGGCGTGATAGCGATTGTGCTGTGGTATGTGGTAAATGTTGTGATTCAGTCTTCGTCCTGTGGTCGTTGGATATGGTGTGACAGTGTCTGGAGTCCTATGCTTCGTACGCTGTTGTAGTCGTTGGACGGACATGGTTCTTTGATTCACGGTGATTTGGTATGCGTCTTTATCAGGTGTGAGATTCACTGAACACTACACACATGTACACGCACGCACACGCACACACACACACAAACACGCACACGCACACACACACACACACACACAACACCACCCATGGTAACAACATACAGCCTAAGCTACAACATCCTTGGACCCGAAGGCGGGAAGGCAATTGCAAAGGCACTGAAGGTCAACACGACGCTAACAACGCTTGAGTGAGTTGTTTGTTTTGGCTCTGTGTAGATGTGATTCTGTGCGTGTGCGTGCGTGGCATTGTCGTATTTGGACTGTTGATGTGATGTGCTCTGATGTATTGTGTGTTGGGTGATTGTGGTGAACTATTTTGAATGCGTACGTGATGTGTGCTGTGAATACATGAACTGCGCGCCACGCGAACACTCTATCCAAACTCACACGAATGCATCCAGCCTGTATAACAACGGCGTAGGCTTTGAAGCCGGAATCGCGATTGCAGAGGCTCTGAAGGTCAACACGACGCTTACGGAGCTGGAGTAAGCAAAATTCTGCCGTGGTGTGGGCATGAGATCGTTGTGTCACGTTCCTGGCGCATGGGTGTTACATACCCATTTGTTGGAATGACGCCGCCTGTGCTTCGTCGTGCAGACGTACATTTCATGGCTAACGCCTTCATTCCCCCCCCCCCATCGTTGGTGTTCAACTAATTGCACTTCAACAGTGTTGATGACAACTTCATCCCGGGCAAAATCAAATCAGCCATCAATTCGGCTCTGAGGAGAAACAAGAAACTCGCACCTCGCATGCAAGAGCTGAATGCGCTACTTGAGTACGGCTCCGTACCCCTGTCCACGGCCAAGGTGTTTGTTTGCGGGCATTTTGGCATCGGCAAGACCACCCTAATCAAGACGCTGCAGTCGTCTCCACACGTCTTCAACACCATGGTGCGCCGCCGTCGCAAAACATATGACGAGCCCGATCGCCCAGATCAGCGCACGCCCGGCATTGAGATGCACAACTTTGCACTCAAGAGAGGCAGGTCGTCTGGCAGCGTCTCCCTCACACCATCGCCCGTCAACGCAGCAGAAGGGAGCGAAGACTCATCCCGTCACGAGACAGCGCTCCCGCCGTGCAAGCTGCGGGTGTATGACTTCGCTGGGCAGGTGGAGTACCACGTGGTGCACGAGCTACTGTTTGCGGACCACAACGCCGTCTTTGTTGTGTGCGTGGACCTGTCCAAGGACATGGCCAACGTGGAGGAGTCTGTGCTGTACTGGCTTCGCTTCATCAAGACGCGCCTGCACCAAGCCGTGCACCGTTCACCGCATCCGCCACACGTCTTCATTGTCGGCACGAAGGCAGACAAGCCACACGAGCACAACACGCTGGTGGAGACAGCAGCAGAAGCTATACCACATGCTTCTGGTGTCTCTTTGCCGCCAATGCAGTTTCCGAGTGGTGACACGCTGTTGCAGAGCCGACGACTGCAGGAGTGGTTTGGTGACACGATGCGTATCCATCCACACGTGATCCCCCTCAACTGCCATGACTTGGGCAGTGCCTGCATGCATCACTTGCGCGATTTGCTTCACGCTACCTGGTTGGAGGTCGTGCAGCAAGACATTCAAGTGCCCAAAGTGGTGGAATTGATTGGCGAGGGGCTGCAACTGTGCAGGAAAGAACATGATGGGGTATGGCAGCTACAGCGGCTGTTTTCCTTCCTTGTTGGGAACGTGGAGGAGTTGACACATGCCCCAGCCATCACGAAGACATTTTCTTGAAGGCGCTCAGGTGTGTGTATGTGTGTGTGTTGTGTGTGTGTGTGTGTGTGTGTGTGCGTTCGCATCTGTTCCTGACTTTGTTGCTGTGCGAACACCTACTACGACCAATGCTCACCACTATCCCCCATACCCACACCGCCTCCTCATTCAGCTACCTACATGTGCGTGGAGACATTTTGTGGTTCCAGTCCATCCCATCTCTTGCCGACCATGTCTTCGTCTCCCCTTCCTGGCTGCTGAGCAAAGTAGTTGGCCCAGCGCTGGCACCGGCCCACTTTCCCGTCCACTTGCGAGCGAGGGAAGGGCGCGTGATGTTCTCGGAGATGCAGCGTGTGTTCGGGCGGGTGATGGATCCAGACCTCGTGGTGGACGTGCTGAGCAGCATGCTGCTGTGCTATGAAGAGGACGCCGCCCTGCATGAGGGTAATGGTGACCGTGTTTTCATGCTGCCGTCGCGGCTGGAGTGGCGCCCAGAGCGTCTGTGGGGAGAAGATGGGTCTGTGGAAGTGTTTGCCGGCCGCCGCCTGCAAATTGCGCAACACCACGGGATGATTTTCCCCCCTGGCGTGTTCCCGCGTGTGCAGTCACGCATCGTGCAGTGTTTGGATTACACCACAAGCCTATGGCAGACAGGGTTCTTTGGCCTGCTGTCTTCTGTTGAGTGCTTGGGCCGTATTGTTAGCGACACGTGCATTGATCTGTGGGTCCGCTGCCCCGCCACACACAAGGAGCACGCTTGGCTGGCCTTGGACATGGTGAGTTATGATGATGTTGGTGGTGGTGGTGGTGATGGTGGTGGTGTAGATGTGTATGTGTCGATGTGTCGTGTGTGGGTGAAAAGTAGTTTGCGACACGGCTTTTCTGTGGTGATGCTAAAGTTCTCACGTTCGTTCACACACACACAACACACACACACAACACACACAACACACACAACACACACAACACACAACACACACACACATACACACATCATGTTAGATGCTGAGCGAGGTTGAGGAGGAGGTTGAGGGCATCGAGTACGACCATCTCGTGCTGAGCCACGCCCACCTGTCCTCCTACCGGCGCCATCCAGCCGGATACCCGCTCCAGGACGTGGAGGACGCCGCCGCCGCCGGTGAAACGCTCATCATTCGCTCGGTGGACGATACATCCAGCCCTGGCAAGAAGGAACACGCGCGGGACGAGCTGAAGAACCTCCTCCGTGAAGACCTGTTCCTGGCCTACGTAGCTGATGCGTCTGATGTGTGTGTTTGACATTCTGATTTATGTTAAGGCGTGATTCCCACTCCACTCATGTGCTCCTCCTGAATTTTGAGTTCCTGCCCTGCGTCTTTGGAGGGAGCTGACGGACCGCTCCAAACCGAACCTTCTTCGGCACTTTCTTGATGCATTGGGTTGTTTGCTTTGTGTGGCGCCTGTTTCGACGTCAAGGAGTTCATTGACGAATACATACGAAGAGCGCAAGGAAGTGGTGTTCAGCGTACACCGTCACAAGAAGGAGGCGCTCGTCGACCTCCACAAACAGACACACACACACGCACCAATTTTCATGTATGCAATTTCCACCGCTTTCAGCAATTCGGGGCTGTAGCTCAAGTGGTAGAGCGCTCGCTTAGCATGCGAGAGGTACCGGGATCGATACCCGGCAGCTCCAATGCTGTTTCAATTTTTTTTCATTTTGGGCAGAAGAAGCAGTCTATCAACTGTGTCACAGCTTGCTCCATTCCTCACACCACACGCCCTCACTCAGCATCAGCGAGCGCGATGTTCAAGTTCAAGGACTGGGCCGGCGGTGGCAGTGGCGGTGGAGGCAGAAGCCGGTCACAGCAGTCAGCGCAGGACTCATCACCAGCAGGCGAAGCATCAGACGGGAGCCAAGTGCGTGTGCATGCTGCGATGTTGTGCATGCTGCGATGTTGTATGTATGTTGCTGTTCCTTTGCCGCATGGCCAGCTGTCTCCAACACACACACACACACACACACGCACACACACACACACACACACACACACACACACACACACACACACACACACACACACACACACACACTATCTCTCTCTCTCATTCAGGCGTCGTCGTTATCCCGGGATCAGCTGCTCCAGCGACTACACACACTCTCGGAGAAGAACGAACGCTTTGAGCTGAGATTCAGAGGTTCGCACCACCACTTGACACTTTGATACACCACTCGACACCGACCGCCACGCCGTGCGTTTATCCGACGTGCCTGGCGCACAGCTCACTTCACGCACGCACTTGTTCTTCACAGATGTTGTCGCCGCTTACAAGTCGCTGCTGAAGGAGAAGCAGGCGCTAGAACTGACGGTACGGGTGTCTTGCGCCATATCGCACGGCAGCGATTGCGCACCTCTGCCTTTCTCAAACCCATCACTTACACTTTCCCCTTGCACCACACACACACACACACACACACACACACACACACACACACACACACACACACACACACACACACACACACACACACACACACACACACTTCAGGTTAGCGCATTGACGGGGAGTGGGGAGGCTGAGACGCCGCAACCAGCGCCTGCACAAGCAACAGCGTCAAGTGGTACAACAGCATCTCCGTCAGGGGATGAAGCAGATGGCGAAGCAACCCAGGACAAGCCAACAGGCGCTGACAGCACACCTGAGGATGCCGGCAAGAGGTGCACACCAAAACCCATATGTGTGTGTGTGTGTGTGGTGTTGTCGCGGAGGTGTGCTGGAAGCGCACTCACGCTTTGCGCGTGTAACTCATCGCACCACATTGCAGTGCCGAAGAGAGCGAAGCCGGTGACATTGCGGCCACGTCGGCATCAGAGGAGCAGCCGCCTGACGCGGGTGCGTCTGCGAGTGCCCTCACCTCCCTCAAGCAGGCCATCCAGACCTTGACGCAAGAGAAGGCCACCATCATGGAGCGGTGCGTGCGCGTGTGTGTGCGTGTGTACATGTGTGTGTGTGTGTGTGTGCTTGCGTGTGTGCGTGTGTACATCTGTGTGTGTGCGTGCGTGTGTACGTTTACGTCTGTGGGTTTACGTGTACAGTTCACATCACGTCTTCATCTTCCTCTCTAATCATCGTCCTCTGATAGGTTCCAACAGGACAAGCGAATCAGCGCCGAGAACCACCGGCGCGAGCTCGAGCAACTGCACACAAAGGTACGAACACCGCATGCGCTTGCACGCGTGAGGTGGTATCAAATTGAACCATTGCGATGGCCAAAGCAAGCAACCAAACACATCACATAATGACTTGGTCGTCGCTCTCTTCCTCCTCCTCCTCCTCCTCCTCCTCCTCCTCCTCCTCCTCCTCCCCCTCGCCTTCCTTCCCTCCCTCTTCCTCGCTCGCTTGCTTGCCAGTTTGAGAATGCGTTGGCGCAAGAACAGGAGAAGACACAGGAACTGAACGACAAGTGCTCGCGACTTGAGAAGCAGGTGTGAAGCCCGTCGTAGCTGCGCTGTGTATCAAGTTGTGCGCTGTTGCATAACACTTGACATGTCACCCCACGAGCGCGCGCACACACACACACACACACACACACACACACACACACTTCTCATCGCCTGCTTTGACTTTTCACATATGTACGCCTACACGCGTGTGCCACACACACACACACACATACACACACACACACCCACACACATGCACATGCACACACACTTGTCATTGCCTGCTGTTCAGGTTGAGTCGCTGACGCAGCAGCTGTCGATTGCACATCAGTCCAACGACGAGAAGGACGCGAAGATCAAGGATCTCAGAGAAGTGAGTGTATGCAACGCATAGGGGAAACACACGTCCACTTGCACATGCGGATTCGTGTGTGCATGTATGTGTGTGTGTGTGTGTCCGTGCACGAGACTATAACACATCCATCAACCTGCTCCTCCATTTGTCCAACACCAAACCACTCTCATCCTACCATCATCCTCCTCCCCCCTCCATCGTTCTACCAGGCACACGCGGCCGAGGTAGCGCGGCTGCGAGAGGAGCTGGTGCCTGTGGATACGGACGTGCAGAAGCGACTGCTGGATCTGAACGACAAATTGCAGACGGCGCGAGATGCCGAGATTGAGGCCATCACCAAACTCAACGACGAGGCGGCACGCAACAGGGTGAGTCGCCCCTGACGCTACTGGTCATGTGTATGCGTGTGTGTGTGTGTGTATGCGTGTGTGTGTGTGTGTGTGATTGAGTGTGTATTCGTGCGTGTACGTGAGTGTGCGTGTTCTTGTATGTAAGTGTGCGTGTGCTTGTATGTGTGTGCATGTGCTTGGGTGCGTGTGTTTGTTTGTGATCTTATCTGACTACTATACGTCCACACAGCACGCGCGTGTAGCCTTGCTGCACTTTTTCTTCCCTCCCTCACATCCATGTCCGCATCGTCACTCCACACACAGGAGCGGGAGCTTGCGCTTGAGCAGGAGTTGTCGCGACTGAAGGCGCGAGCGGCCTCGGCAGAGTACAGAGGAGAGAGCAAGGCCATGCTCAAGCTCAAGGCTGTACGTCTCCGTATGTGTGGGAATGTGTGATTGTGCGTGTGTGTGCACATGTGTGATTGAATGCGTGCATATATGTGTGTATGTGTGTATGTGTGTGTGTGTATGTGTGTATGTTTGTGTGTGTAAAGTGGTTGCAAAGTGCTACAGCGTGCATACACCGTCTGGTGCACGCGTGAAGAACACATGTCTGTGCTTACCTCCATCCTCTGTTCCCATCGCCCATCAGGAGTTGGTGGCGCAGCAGAAGGAAGTTGAGCGATGGAAGGAGGCAGCAGAGGCCGCACAACAGGGCAAGGTGTGTGTGTGTGTGTGTGCTTGTGTGTGTGCTTGTGTGTGTGTGTGCATTGGGGTGAAAGTAGGCGA